GAAGCAACTTCTTCCTTTACAAAAATGTTCTCCGAGGCACCGTTAACGAGTTATCAACGAAAAACAGTGACCAATAAGAATCGAGTACGGCTGACGCGAGGCGGCCCAGCCAACCAGCGCGCGAAGCCCAGTCCCGCTCATTGGCTCGATCGCCTCGCGCCAGCCGAGCTCGCCTCTCATTGGTCACTGTTTTTCGTTGATAACTCGTTAACGGTGCCTCGGAGAACATTTTTGTAAAGGAAAAAGTTGCTTCAAATGGCCTAAGGAACCTGCCACTTTCGGATTGCGAGACATTTTTAGGACACCCTGTATACATATAGTACATATAGTATAATATAGAATATTATAGCATATATACAATATATAGTATAGTATAGTATAGTATAGTAAAATCGCTCTAAAATTATGGAAAATACAAATGAAAAATGTCCGACCGATTCCCACAGAACGGATATACTTTTTGTCGAAAGTTCAACGTCAAAAGCAGAAACACGAATAACCATGTGCCGCAAGAAGCAACTTAAGCGTAGCAAGGATTCATCGTTGCTCGTATATAGTTTGAACAAGCGCCAGTGTCTGTTTCACACTTAACCAAATACTGTGGCACAAACATACCACGGAGCAAAGTTCTGCCGAAGCGGTGTTCCTATACATGTGCGAACTCTGGCAATAATTTTCAGCCTAATCATTCTACGCCAGAAAGGCTACGTTGAACGCTCGCGCGTCCTACACCGCGTTATTCCTACGTTATCTATCGATTTTGTCTTAAAACTTTGGAGACCGAATTTGTTAATAAAGGAGAGAGAAATTATGAGAAATGTGGTGGAATATCACACCGAGACCGTATTATTATACAGGCTGCGGAGAAAATTCTGCCCCTTTATAATAAAATACGCTCCTTTTTATCTGCAAATTTTCAGTCTCCAAATCTATTCTACTTCTTCGAATTCTTTATGTTCTCTTTTTCTTTGATATCCATTAGTATTGTTCGTATACGTTTCTAGTTTCTTTTTGGCAGAAAAATGAAAATAATAAAGAGTAGGAGAAAATGGAGAAAAGAAAAACTGAGAGGGCAGTAAAAAATAGGGAATTAAAATTATTATCGTTGAAAGTAGACCTCCCATCGATCTTCAACTCGTTCACGTCGACGAACGAGATAAAGCTAGTTTCGAAAAAAATGCGACGATCGTTATAATTTTCAGTGTCCAAATCTATTCTACTTCTTCGAATTCTTTATGTTCTTTTTTTCTTTGATATCCATTAGTATTGTTCGTATATGCTCCTATTTTCTTTTTGGCAGAAAATGAAAATAATAAAGAGTAGGAGAAGACGGAGAAAAGAAAAACTGAGAGGGCAGTAAAAAACAGGGAATTAAAATTATTATTCTTGAAAGTAGACCTCCCATCGATCTTCAACTCGTTCACGTCGACGAACGAGTTAAAGCGTATTCTCCAAAAATTAAGATCGTTTTAGTTCAGCTTTGAGAAAAAGTTTTAAAGGTTAATAACACTTTCGCGGGTCACTGTGGATCGCCGGCGAAAAGGGACGAGTCCACGGAACGATTCGGCAACGACGGCACCATAAAAATATCGGCCGATCAATGGCCATACTTCGCAAACTCCCGGCACGCGTCCTTGATACTCGCGGCAAGGACTGCTGGATAAACCGAAAACGGTCGGGACACCGTTGAACGACCGCAGCAGTCCCGTAATATGAGGGAAGTTCGATGCAGTTTCCGCGCGAGAATAGGGTGGGCTTCTGGCAATGCACCCTCTTTCCGATTAGCCCCGCCATTGGCAAAGTCTGCGCCGCTTCGAGCGGAACGAGGGTCGCAAATGCATAATCGATGCACCCTCCGCTCGGCGGCGGGCCGGCCGACCGACCCCGTTGCTGTTGACCTTGTCAACTTGACTCGAAGAACGGTCTGGCACCGAGCGGCAAGTGGAACGAAGCCGGTGTATCCGAAACTTCTGACGCAGAGTCGTCGCACGGCTGGTATTATTTCATCCCGCTTTGGAAAATTCTGACCACCCTCGACCACGATGCTGTTTGAAATCCAATTACGCTTGACTCGTTGATAAAATGTGCCGTGGAAATACTGGACGCTCCCGAGTCCATCGCGGCTGATTTTCCAAAAAGACGGATAGCTTTTCCCGAACTGGAATATCCCTCCAGGAAATTTCTAGGACAAATAATGGAATCTATCGCAGACCGAATATATTTGAGCGTTGTTGGAGCATCGCATCGCGTACAAATTGCTTCCGTTTTCGGTTAAGCGCCATTTATATTTTATATTTTATATATTTTATATATTCTATGTTTTATATATTTTATATTCTATACATTTTTTATATTCTATATATTTTATATCCTATATATTCTATATTTTATATTTTATATCCTAAATATTTTATATATTTTATATATATTGTATATATTTGAACATTGTCGAAGCATCGCATCGCGCACAAATTTTTTCCATATCCGGAACTGTGTTAAGCGCCATTTTAATCTCATTTTCTGCTGAAAATCTGTTGCAGTTTTCCTAGACTGCGGTGGCTTCGATACTTCAATCATCGTTAAGAATTTATTATCTGTATTCTGGGATGTGTCACAGCTTCGTGCATCAGTCCTCGATAAGTTCGTCCAAGTAATTCATCCGTTTCTTTCGGTTTAACCTGTACCTAGAGGAAGTAGGATAGAGAAATAGTAGGGGAAAAGAAATACTTGGTTGTATCATTCTTTTTTTCGTCCGCAGAAGCGGGATGCTTTCTCAATGCTTTCTCGCGGAGGTTTCTTAATCAGCGGCAGCTGAAATTGAAACCTGAAGAACGCGGATTAAGTTTCGTTCGCTGGCAAGGAAAAATTGGTAAAATCGAGATCGATGGTCGAAGAGGTCGAATTATTTTCGGCGAGGTACGGCAAATTGTTCGAGAGTCTAATGGTTTTGTAGGAAACTTTCGTAATTTCTTGAACGTTAAATTAATCTTTTTAATTAGAAATTGACAAATTAGGTCGTGACGATAATGATGAATACGTTGATGATTAAGCTTCTGTTTGTCAGTATCAATTCTAGGTCAATTTAAGTCATATTTTGGGACAAATTTTGGGTTAAACGTTAGATCAAATTTCAGGCAAAATTTTAGGTGAAATTTTAGATTAATTTAAGTTATATTTTAGGAAAAATTTTGGGTATAATTTTCGATAAAATTGTAGGCAAATTTAGGTTAAATTGATACTGATAAACGGATACTGATGAACAGATAAACTCCCCACAATTTTGACACAATGCAAGCTATAGTGCTGCTCAGCACTCGAGCGGTTAATATTAGCAAAAAAGTACACGCTTCAATGACTTCTTGAGGCGCAACTTTTAGTTCTGAGAATATTCATGGATTCGTATAGATTGAAGAATATAGATTCAGGTTTACCGAAGTAAGCACCGTTGCCTTTTTACATATTCGAAATTACTATCGATTGACAGGAGACTCGAGACTGCTCTTGTCAAAGGATCGCCGTTAGATTGACTTTTTAATGCTTTCCCGTGGAACTTTTTCTTCGCGAAGTGCAAACTTGTCGACTTGGAGAATATAGATTAAAAGATAAACGTGTTAGCCGGTCGTCTGTTTTTCGCAAGAAGAAACTTTCGAAGCTCTGACGACCGCAATAACCGACTGATTATTCATGTTCATTATGTATGGGTAACCTTTTTTCGCGACGGTGGTCGAGAATGTTGCAGAACAAATTAGAAAGATTGGAGCACGTAGTAGGAATAGAGTATATGATATACTGGATTTACGCTAACGCGCTTTCGTTCGTTCGAAAATTAGAATTTCTTGTGCAATTTGAGCTAGTGGAGATTTGATAACTAATTTAGATAAAAAATTTTTAAAAATATTAGTATAATTCTTAGTTATTTTAGAAATTCTTCTAATGTTTTATAATATAATAAATGCACATTGTAAATGCAGTAACCTACTCGTGGTGAGGTCTCGGTGGAAAAAATATTGCGAATTGTAACGAGTTTTGAGTCGAGGATGATACCGAGCTAATAGTTGCAAATCATGAATTCTTTTTGATATTCGAAATCTTATCTATAGAGTTAGTCGACCATTTGGAAAATTTCGCTGCAGATGGCGCCAGCATTCAGTATATACGTTTGGAAATGTCTGGAAGACTAGAAGATATCTTCAGACTCATTTAGTGTAATACAAAGTTTATTAGAAAGAAATATACCAATTAAGGCGAACAGTTATATTATTGAAGTAAGAGATAAAATTAGTCGATTTAGCAATTAAGTTTTGAAACACAAGCGTAATTATAAAGTAATTTGGATGTACTCTAATACAGGAATTTTAAGCAATGAAAAATAGCGGATTAATTAGCAGAAACAGCTACACTAAATGAACATGATAAATACATAAAAGTTCCATATATAGATTTTAATTAGATTAAAAAAAAAATATGTGGTGGGAATATTAAAAGTAGACTTCACTATGATAAGTTATGTAAAAATAGGGGAATGGTTTTATAAGCTAGAATTGCCTAGAGAATTAATAATAAGATTTAATAGGAAAAGAAGGAATCATTACAATTGCAATGAATCTTTTTAGCGCGAATTAAAATAGCAAGCCCGAAATGTGTTTGTGATTTTAACAAACAGGATATCAATTCTATGGGAGAGTCTGCTAGACAATGGGGATTTAAGGATCACTAACTTAAGATAATTATAATAACACGATGCTAGTGGAAGGAATAGTTGAAAACAATTTAATATCATGAAAATAAATGTTTATTGATCATTAAACCTCGATGTTTTTATACAAAACAAATTATTCCGTCATGATTAGAATTTCTTTGATTACTTATAATAGTATTTACTTATAATAGTATTTACTTACTACCTAATTATGTACTTATTAGTTATTTATATTACTATTTACTTATCACTTCTTCAGTTATCTTGCGTGTAAAATTATTTTTATTTATCTTACAACAGTTTTAAAAAATAATTAACTTACACTAA